ATAATATGTATCACCCATACATACACATGTACAGAAAATTAGATAAAACCAAAACCAAAAACATGGAAAGTTGTACAGCTGGTGAGATGAGTCAGCAGGTCATAGAGTTCGTGGCAAAAGCCTGGTGACATGGGTTCTACCAGCAGAACTTACATAAAGATGAATGGAGACGACCAACTCCGTTAAGTCATCCTCCAACCCCTATAGGATACCCTGGGCACTTGTACCTCACCCCATCACACACACAACTAAACAATTTTAAAGGGGCTGAGATGGCTCGGTGGTCACAAGCATAGCTCTTTTAGAGGACCCATGTTTTGGTTCCCAGTGCCCACGGCAGGCAGCTCACAACTCCTTTGTACTCTAGTACCATAGACTCCGCTAGCTTCAGGGAAACCTGTGCTCATCTGCACATACCCATGTATACAAAATCTAACACATAATTTCAAGACACTTTTAAGATTGGGCATGGTGGCCCATGCCTTTAACCCCAGCACTCAGGAGACAGAGGCAGGTAGATCTCTGTGAGTTGGAGTTCCAGGACAGCCAGGGATATGTAAAGAGACTGTCTCAAAAAACAAGATAAGACAAGCTTTTTTAAAATGTTAAAGTGGGCTAGAGAGATGGCTCATGGTTAAGAGCACTGGCTGCTCTTCCAGAGGTCCTAAGTTCAATTCCCAGCAACCACATGGCGGCTCACAACCATCTGTACAATGAAATATGGTGCCCTCTTCTGGTGCATAGGTAGACATACAGGCAGAACATTATACATAATAAATAAATCTTTTTTTAAAATGTTAAAATGAAGTTTCATGTTACATGTATTTTTATGCCCCCCCAAACACAGATATTAAAAACCATGACAGCACACCTGGACCAGAACAAATTTCCATACAGGATATTACTTGGGATACATGGCACAATTGGAATACAGGTTGTAAATTAGATACCTAAATCGATATTAAAACTTATGATTTTGACAATTATGCTATCAATATACTAAAACATTATATGTAGTGATGAAAGGCATGGTATGTACAGTTCACTATCAAGTGCTGGAGGATTTGTATATGCTCATACCAGAAGAGTAAAGAGCCAAATGTCACCTAGAGATTCTCACTGGAGTCAGTTTTCTGCATAGTTCTTGTAACCTTACTGTATACTTGAAAAAACGTTTCCAAACATTAATACACACAGGATAAAATGGTTCTCTCCCAAATCCGCTCCACCTACCCCCACTCTGCCCGAGAGGGCTCTCTCCAGCTGCTCCCCTGAAGTTCTGGACCTGGGGCCTGAGATGCAATAGGCACCTGCTGGCAAGCCTGATCCCCAGACCACCTAGGAGGGAGAGAACCGACTCCTGCAAGTGTCCACGGACGTCCACACCAACTCCCTTCACAAATAAATATAACTTTTAAAAGAAAAAGATTAATTCTCGGAGCCAACCGTCTCCCCTGTCATTCCAGGCGGAGTCCTATTGGCTGAAGCACTGAAACGTTGCCAGGGCTCCTCCCCTTCTCACCCCACTTCCTGCTGCCCTTGAGCCTGCTCCATCCCCTCTCCACTTGCTGTTGGCTAAGACTCCTGCACTGAAGTCCATCAGCCTTTTCCTTTGTGACTTGTGGCGTTTACGCTAAACTTGGGAAGTTCTAATTCCGGAAGTGTTTCACCTTGTTACCTCTAATGTTGCCCAGGACAGATAAAAGCTGTTAACTTCTATTTATTTAGATAGCCTCACTCTGTAGCTCAGACTGGCATGGAACCCGTGCTATACATCCTGCTGCCTCAGCTTCTCAAATGCAGAGATTACTGACAGGAAACAGCACGTCCATCCCCGCTCAATAGCTCCTTGCTGGTCCCCAGTGTCACTTTTACTCCATTTCAACCCAAGTCACTGAACCCTTCTGCTCAGAATGGCCCCGTGTTGGGAAGGGTTCCCATCTCCATCCTAGGGTTCCCTGGGCAGCTGTGTCAGTCGTCGCCCCACTGCGGGCCCAGGCAGCTATTTACAAAGTAACGGGATGCTGGGAAGTTCCCTAGGGAACGTGTGATGGCACCCTTCTGCTCAGAATGGCCCCGTGTTGGGAAGGGTTCCCATCTCCATCCTAGGGTTCCCTGGGCAGCTGTGTCAGTCGTCGCCCCACTGCGGGCCCAGGCAGCTATTTACAAAGTAACGGGATGCTGGGAAGTTCCCTAGGGAACGTGTGATGGCCGCTGCTATAAGGACTGTCCTCAGTTCCCACTGAAGAAAGACCATACTTGGCCGAGTGAAAGCCAGCCCTCCCAAATCCACATGAGGGGGGAGCGATGGAGGATGGGGACTCCCGGACACAATGGGGAGGGGTCGGGGAGCTGGAAGCCTCAAGGCTCCACCCTTCTTGCCAGTCTGGGCACCTCACTCTGCTTCACGCCCCAGCCTGGGCCGACCCCACCACAGGCAGCGATGAGGGGGGCTATCCTGGGAGCACCCTAACCTCTCAGTCTGCAAGCGGAGACCTAATAAGGCCGGGCTGGCTGCGGCGGCCCCGCCCCCCACTCCACCCCCGCGCATTCTTCTGCCTAGTAAGGCCTGGCCACCAGCGGTCCCCGCCAGCCCGGTCTCCGCCCCCCCAGAGCTCAGAGCAAGGGCCCCAGAGGTTGCCAGCTAGCTTCTGCAGCAGCGCCAGCAGCATCCGCACCACCACCTGGAACTTTTCTTCTTTGCAGCAGGTGGGAGCCTGTGCAGCGCCTGGGCAGCTACAGTAGGTGGTCAGGCCGAACCTCATCCGGCCCCCAGAGGACTATGGCATGCAGAGTGGTGTGGGCTGGGGCTGCTATCTTGCTGGGGTCCTACAGGGCCCTGGCTCGGGACTGAGCAATAGATGGTTCTATGTCCTGTTAAACTGGTCTTTGGGCAAGGAAAAGTGTCTAGAGTGTCCTTTTGCTAAAGAGCCATTCGGACACACACACACACACACACACACACACACACACACACACACACACACGAAACCCAGAGCTCCAGGCTACCAGCCTGTAGAGGAGCTGATGAGGACACCCTGACCCAAGAAACCATGTGTGTCAGGGGAAACCGAGCCCTACTGGGCTCATTCACTGTCAGATCACAGGTTTCCTTACTTTCCCCTATTTTGCACACCCTGGGCCAAGAGAGAGGAATGATGACCACTCTCTCGCCTCCCACTGCCTATAACCCGGTGCTGTGTGCACCAGCCAGGGCAGCGAGATGGGAGGTCTGGGTCTTGGCTCCTTCACAGCCCGGCAGCTGCCTGGTGCTTCCAGGTACAGAGATTACTTGGTCACTAATAAGCTGGTTCAAGAGCAGGGCATCTGACATTGCCCAGCTATGGGGACAGGAATGAGTAAAGGGGTCTGGGCTGACTTCTGCCTGTTAAGCTGTTAAGGTAGGAAACAGCGGTCTAGCCATGGCCAGGCCAAGTCCCAGCTGTCAGATCCTTGGTGTCTAGAATCCAAGAAAGGGGAAAATATGGCTTCAGGGTTAAGGGCCAAGGTTAGCCCTAACCTCTAGAACTGCCTGGCCAGTCTTTGCCACACACTGGACCAGCCTAACCTGGTGTTCTGGCATCTAACCCTCTCATGGGCATGCATTGCCGGGGAGGGGGGGTACTGCCTCTCAAGAGTGCTAAGATGAAGAACATAGGGATACAGGTGGCTGTGACACGCAACAGGGGAGCCTGGCTAGGCCTGTCCTAGAGGTCTGCAGACAGGAGGGGCCAGGAATGTTGATGGCCATCTCAGCCTGGCCACAGGAGAGGACGGGGCTGGCTTCCAAGGATAACATTCCTGCCCTCCGTTCCTACCAACACCCATCCAGCACCACACAAAGAAATACCAAAGCCTGTTGTGTGATGGGGGCCCATTGGGCCTTACACAGCTAGTCTCAAGACTGCAGGCAGATATAGCCTGAGGACCATGATCCAGCTTTGGGGGGGTGGGTGGGAATACTACAGGCAGGGGCAGGGGAAGCAGGGCATAGGCTGCTGGCCTAGGGTACAGAGCATGGGACAGAGGGACAGACATACTGGCTGGGACCCTGGCTAGTTGAGGAGAGCAGACACTAAGACCCCACAAGCTATGACAGGTTTGGGTTGAGTGCTTTCCCTGGCCTCAGTTTCCCCATTTGTACAGTGGCGCTCACACAACCTTTCACTAAAGAGTCATCAACTAGCCGGTTGCTGTGGGCTTTCGCTAGCGATAAAGAAGGAGGGAGTCTGCAAGTATTGGTTGTCAAGATAAGGGTGAAAAACAGCACCCTGGGACTCCAGAGCTCAGCTGGAGGAAGACAGCTGTAGAAGGAGGTTCTGGAAGGAAGGCCTGGGAATGGCTGTGGAATGCTAGAGGTCACAGAAAGATGAGGTCTCATCAAGGGGACAGTGTGATAGGCCAGGATCAGCCACACACTGAAGCGTTTAATGCCAGGCGGGCGGGGGGGACCCAGGTTTACTCTGGGGATGTGGGACGACACAGCACAAACCTTTGAAGGCTTTAAGGAGACAAGTGAAGGTCTGAATTTGAATGGTCCAAGGTCAAAAAGCCACATCTAAATAGATCTCTAGTTTCGACTTCAGGGAGCTCCAATGTACAGGAGTACAGTGCTGCTGGTCAGCCCCCTCCTGGAAGGGCCCTATCTCCCTGTCACTGGGAGACAGTGGTCACTGCTATCAAGGAATAAAGTAGACAGTGCATCCTAATGGTTGGCACCAAGCCAATCCTAATGTTTTACCCAATCCTAGCAACATTAGCTCTTTTTATGCCCAGCACCACTCTAGGGGCTCTCTAGACACTAAGTTAACTATTCCTGCTGAAGGATGCCTTGTTGCCCCATTCCGAGTTGACGAAAGACGGAGGAAATTATCCAGGGTCACAGCCCACAGGCTGCTCTCAGAACTGGATGGCTGGAGGCCCAAGCCTGTGGGAGGCCTTGAATGCCAAGCTTAGGTCTAAAAGCCATCGGGGGAGGCAGGAAGATTCCATGTCCAACATCATCCCACACACCTTCCTGCAGGGGAAGCCCCAACACCCGAAGCCAAGATGTCCAGCAAGCGGGCCAAGGCCAAGACCACCAAGAAGCGGCCACAGAGGGCTACATCTAATGTCTTCGCCATGTTTGACCAGTCCCAGATCCAGGAGTTTAAGGAGGCCTTCAACATGATCGACCAGAACCGTGATGGCTTCATCGACAAGGAGGATCTACACGACATGTTGGCTTCTCTGGGTGAGTAGGACAGGTAGTAAATCTCATTTAAAGAAAAAGCACCAGCAGTTACATGACAATTTGTATTGATGGGGAAACTGAGGCTTAGAAGGGAAGACAGAACACTCCTCTATATCCCCAATGACCAGGGTCTTAGGGCCAAAGGGCTCAGGGATGAAGTCCAAGTTGTCAATGTTTATAGATGGATACACTGAGGCCTGGAGGGAAGACCTCCGGTGTGCATCTCCTCATGTGCTGGCCACAGACAGACACCCTTAGCTCCAATTCCTGGCACGGCTTTCAGTGGGACAAGGGGATCAGGATTTGATGACAGATAAGAAGAGTCTAGCACGGGACAGCCACATACATGAGGGTGAACCCACGCCACTGGGTTGGGCAGTCCTGGTCAGTCTCTGGCACTGCTCCATGCCTACTGGCCTGCCTGTGTAAGAGGCATTATGTTCTCATGTGCACATATGAGCTCATGTCTGGTGGAGATCAGCAGCCCAAAATAGGAAAGGAGGGCGCCCACTCCACCAGCCACAGGCCACGCATACTCTCTCCCAAGAAACCCAGCACTCTGATCTGGATCTTCTCAGCATCTCAAAAGGGAAAGAATGTCCAGGGGAGGAAGGGCAGGTCCTCAAGGGCTAAGAGCTCCTCTGCGCATCCCATGAAAACAAGGCAAGGGACAGACGTGAGGCTCAGAGGGGCAGTCATAAAGTTGTCCCCTGTTGGTCAAGCTGCATCTTGTATTTAGGGATTCACATCCCTGAGACTGAATGGGTCTAAATAACTACTTAGAAAAATGTGTGCCCGTGTCTGGTGGGCCCATGGATCAGATGTGGTCTTTTGGTTAGAGAACATTGTCCCCCCCAGGAAAACACGGCCCACAGAATCAAATCAGCAGAGCTCATAGAGGCTCACAGAGACTGAAGCAGCAATCACAGAGTCTGCATCTGTATATATGTTATGGATGTTAGCTCGTTTTTATGGGACTCATAACAGTGGGAGTGGGGGGTATCTGACTCTTTTGCCTGCTCTTGGGACCTTTTTCCTCCTTTTGGGTAACCCTGTTCCACGTTGATATGAAGGTTTGTGCCTCATTTTATTGTATCTTATTGGAGGCCTGCCCTTTTCTGATGGGAAATGGAGGAGGAGGAGTGGCCTGGGGGAGAGGGGAGGTGGAGAGGAGGGAACTGGGAGGAGTGAAGGGAGCGGAAACTGGCCAGGATGTATTATATGAGAGAAAAATAAATAAAAGCAAAACTAAAAATGGTACTCCCCCCAAAAAAGAAAAAGAAAAGGAAAAAGGAACACTGTCCTCAAGTTAAGAAATAAAAAGGAAGCAAGTAGATTATAGAGTAAGCGCTGCAGACATCATCCTAACCCTCTTGGAGGCGGGGAGAGACTCAGCAATCTGCCCAAAGTCTCACAGTAGCCCTGTGTTCAGCTGGGAACGGAACCCATCAGAGACTGCAGCATCCCAGAGCTGTGCCAACCTTTAGGACCACTGTCTCACCTTCACAATTCTAAAGACACAGAAAACTGAAGCACAGAGCTAGTTTAAATCCAAGCACATGTGATACCAACACTCACTGACTTAGCCACTTCTAAATCGGAGTTCGGGGACAGACTGCCTGGGTTTGGTTGCTAACCCTGCTCCTCCCTAGCTGTGTGACCTTGGAAAAGCTACCTCTCTGTGCCTCTCCACTGTGGGGGTGGGGAAGAACAGTAAGGATGCTGTTGGCAAAGAGATGAAAATCAAAAGGCAGGCAGGTGGTGTGCCAGGCACAGAGGCACGAGGCAGGAGATGACTTCACCCTGGAATGGTGGAACAGCCAGGGACTTGTGGGATGCCCTCATACTTCAGATGCAGGCAGGGACAGGTGCTGGATGCCCAGGAGAAGGCAGGAAATCAGCCGCCTAGCACCTGCTTCCCAGCCTACAAAGTTCACTGTGGGGAGGTTACGGGGAACGAGTTACCCAGGCTGGGGACGGAGAGCTAGGGATAGTAGCCCCAGTGTCTACCCCCCACAGGGAAGAACCCCACGGATGAGTACCTGGAGGGCATGATGAGCGAGGCGCCAGGGCCCATCAACTTCACCATGTTCCTAACTATGTTCGGGGAGAAGCTGAACGGCACAGACCCTGAGGATGTAATCCGCAATGCCTTTGCCTGCTTTGACGAGGAGGCCTCAGGTCAGTGAACACTGGAGGCCTGGGCTGGAGAGGGGACAAGGTACTCAGTGCCTACAGGGGAAGGGATGGGACCAGACATCACTGTCTCCAAGTTCCCAGTGCCACACATTTACAAAGCTTCTCACTTCCTGACCACACCCGTCAACCCACAATAAGATGCTTTAAACCTTCCAGAAAGCAAGCCATGCCTTGCTGTTTTCTACCCCAGCTGCTGTCACAGCAAATTTTCTTCCTCATGGGGCCGCAGTCCCATCAGACATTGTGGACAGTCCCTCTGTAGAACTCTTCCCTCTGGGCCCCTCCCAAACTCTCTCATCCATATCCTTTTCCCTCAGAGTGACTGGAGACCAGAATAGGGTCTTCTAACTCCTCTGCCCGGATGAGGTCTCCAAGGGCTAGGAGGGGATGGGTAGATGCAGCCGGAGCCTGCCCTCATTGACCTTGTCATGCCATGCCCCAGGGTTCATCCATGAGGACCACCTGCGGGAGCTGCTGACCACCATGGGTGACCGATTCACAGATGAGGAGGTGGATGAGATGTACCGGGAGGCACCCATTGATAAGAAGGGCAACTTCAACTACGTGGAGTTCACCCGCATCCTCAAACACGGCGCCAAGGACAAAGATGACTAGGCTATTATTGGCTGTCCCAATGCCCAAACCCTATCACTTCCCCAACACACACACTGCACCCTCCACGAGGAGTTGGGGTCCCAGCTCCCAGGGCAGGAAATGAGCTGTAAGACCCATGGGGGAGGCAGGTGTTCCACCATGGCCCCTGGCACCAGAAGGATCTCTTTAAGGAGGGGCTGCTGTGGGGAGGCGAGTCAAGGGTGGGACCCAGGCCCCTGAAGATGGCCACACTCAGCCATGCCCTCTCATTCCTGGGCCGCCCTGAGGAGGACAGCACTCATGTCCTGGTGTGGGACGCTAATTCCCAGCATCCCCCACAAAGGCACACTCACATTCATTCACCATGTCCTTCAGAGGATGACAGTAGGCACTTAATGTTGCCCCAGTTGTCAGAGCACCCCCAATGCACAGGGGGACACTGCCTGGGGAGTCGGCCTCTAATACAAGGCTCAGCACTGCCTCTGGTCTGTGTGTGTCTGTGACTGGGGGAAATTAGGGACCATGTCCCATCATACCTTCCCTCCCTCCCTCCCTCCCTGCCATCCCAGTGCCCCCCCCCCCGTGCACCATACCACTCTGTGCAGGGGAAGGGGAAGGGGTCTGCCAGCCATGTGGTATTGAAGCCTGAGGCCCCCGGAAACAGGCCTCTGAGAAGAGAGGATAGCATGGCGAGACCCAGGGGTTCATCAAACCCTATACAACAGGGGTTTTGACCAGTGGGGGGGGTCAGAGGTCAAGGTCATAGCCCTTAGGACTAAAGCCTGATTTCCAGATCACTTCAGTGTTCTGGAGAAGCTTGAAATGAAGGGGGGCACTAAGGACAATGAAGAAATGAAGGGGTAGGTGTCCAGAGGCCCAGGGAGTGACTGGTCACCAGCCCCAGCTGCCTCCCTCATCCTGTCCAGTTCCAGACAGCCACAAGCCTCACTGTCCACAACCCTATTCCAGCACACCAGGCAGGCAGGGCTGGGTCCCCACGACGTTTGAATCATGGGGTCACTGACAAGACTCCCTACAGTGTACAGCATGGGACAGCCTGGGCTCACCTAGTAGTCTATGGGTAGAGGAGGGGGCTTCCCATGTCCCCCCTGAGCCCAGCAGAGGTCAGGGACAGGTGCTGGATCCAGAGTGATTCATGAGAGGCGAGTCACAGCGCCTGACAAAGGTCCATACCATGGGTGAACACACAGCACTAAGGGGATATCAAGCCAGCCTAGGGGCTACTCACTACCAGCCTCAACTCTCTCCTCTGTAGTATGAGGCCGGATGCACACACGCTCAGTCCCGAAGTGAGCCCCACAATGTTTTGGTCTTGACTCTGGATTGGACCAGTCCCAATAAGGTCAAAACCAGCCCCAAATAGTGTTCCAGACTCAGTCCCTGCCCCACCAGTAGCCCTGAGTGGCCCTCGGAATGGCCCTGGGCAACACATCCTCTTGCTAAACCATTGAGGCACAGAGGCCCACCTTTAGTGCCTCCAGTGTCTAGAAGGCAGGAAGCCAGGCATGGGGGTTTACACCTAGAATCCCGGTAGGCCACAGGCCAATCACCACAAGTTGGGGTCAGCCTGGACTACAAAGTGAGACCCTATGTCAGGAAGGAGGAGGGAAGGAAGGGCAAAAAGGAGACAGGGTCATCTTAGAAGACATTTCTCTGGGATCCCACGTCCAGCCTAGAAGGGAAGGCTCATGGTTTCACAGCTGTCACAGGGCTGAGAGCATGCCAGAAAGGGGAGTGGGGGGTAAATACTCTGCCGAGGATGTCACCAGGGAAACCAGGCATGGCACAGGGAGGCCACAGCCTGCAGCGGCAACATGCCAACTCCGTGGCTGCGAGGAAGCAGCTTTCTCAACCCATAAACGGATATAAGCAGCTTTTCAGGAAGAAAAAAAAAATAACACCTAAGCAGCTGAGGATAAGAGCTCAGAGAGGCCAAAAGAGCCACAAACTCAGGGCCAGCCTGGGCTACAAAGGAAGAGCTTGTGATCAATAAATGCAAGTTAGTGACTTTTATCTTCTCAGGTAACAGAGAACACAGTGAAACCTTCCCAGAACTACAACTCCCCAAGTTTTGCGGGAACCCCAGAAGCCACAAAGGAGGAGTCAGATGGGCGTCAGTTCTTATTGTGCTGCAAGCCGCTCCCCTTGGCCATCAGTGCATAGCGGTGTGTGTGTGTGTGTGTGTGTGTGTGTGTGTGAGGGGTTGGGGGGGAGCGCTTGCAGCACAGAACAGCACTGGGGGTGTGGTCTAGCTTCACACCGATGATAGCCGGCAGTATGCACAAGCTTACTTTATGAACAAAGTCCCTGAAACAGAGTAATTATGGCCAAAATTTAAACACATTTCATGGCTTTCCCCCAAACTCATTGCAAGCAGCAGGCATTAAAACCAAGGCAAAACACACACACACACACACACACACACACACACAAAATCCCAAAGAGTTACTTTCTGCAAACTTTTTTGAGCTTTTACTATGCTTTTAAATTCTGGAAGAAGCAAATATTTTACTCCAGAACTAATTACAATCTATTGAAAAGCATACACCAAGAAGTTGTTTGTTTCAACCTTTTGTGCAAGGGTAGGCAGGATCTCATGTAGCTCAGGCTAGCCTTAGGGTCACTATGTAGTTAAGAACACAGGCAGAATTGTGAGTTCCAGACCTGACTGATCTACAAATCAAGTTCCAGGACAGCCAGGGCTACACAGAGAAACCCTGTCTCAACAAGAAAAAGGAAAGAATGACCTTGAACCTCCTGCCTTTGCCTCCCAAATGCAGGTACGACAAGCATGTGCTACTAAGTGAGCACGTGCACACACTGGGGCACGCATGTGCTGGTCCAAAGACAATTTCCAGAGCGGGCACTCACCTCCCACCTTGCTGAGGCAGCGGTGTCTCTTGGTTCTGTGCTGCACTGTACAGTCCAGGCTAGCCCATTTCTTCCAGCCGCTTCTGTTTGTCTCCCTTCTCACCACATGAATTCTGGAATCACAGAAGCACACCCATGTTGTTGTTATTTGACTATGGGTGATGGAGCAGCCCAACTCCATCTTAAGATCAAAAGCCACCTTGTTACAAGATCAAAATAAGTCTTTTCCTGTCTTCTGTAAAGCTTGGATTTGACCAGGTCTTGATCCATTTTCTGGAATTTGACATGTTTCACACCCTATACCCTAAAATAATTTTCAGATGTTTTGCCAAGTTCCTATGTAACCAGAAACCCTCTCACCTTGCAGGGTTTTGTTTGATTGTTGTTTGTTTTTCAAGACGGGGATTCTCTGTGTAGCCTTGGGTGTCCTGGAACTTGCTCTGTAAACCAAGCTGGCCTTGAACTCACAAAGAAGCGCCTGCCTCTGCCTCCCAAATGCTGCGGTTAAAGGTGTGCACCACCACCACCAAGTGGCCAGCTAGCCTTGCAGCTTTTTTGAGCTATATAAGCCCCACTTTTTCCTATGTTCAATGCTATTTTCTCAAACCCTGCTTTAGGGAGTTAGCCCTGCGTCTTAGTTAGGGTTTTTATTGCTGTGAAAAGACACCATGACCACAGCGATTCTTATAAGGAAAACAATGATTTGAGGTGACAGTTTACAGTCTCTGAGGTTCAGTCCGTCATCATCATAGCAGGGAGTGCCACATGACAGCGTGCAGGCAGATGAGGTGCTGGAGGAGTAGCTGTTGGAAGCAACAGGGAGTGGACTAACACACTGGGTGCTACCCTGAGCATAGAAAACCTCAAATCCTGCCCCCACAACAACACACTTCCTCCAACAAGGCCACACCCACCCCAACAAAACCTCCTAAAAGTGCCACTCCCTATGAGATTATGGGAGCCAATGACATTCAAACTACCATACCTTGTCTGAGTAAAAAATAAAGCTTGCTTATTTTAATTAAAAGAATTTGGGTCATGATCTGTAGTCTCATGGGATTAACAATTGGAGGCCCCAGTGAAATCAAGACCCCCAATCGAAATTCTGAAGCCAGACCTTCTTCACTCTGGAACCTAGTTGCCCCCTCAGGAGGTGGTGCGCACCTTGCAGAGGCTCCAAGGTTCTGAGGCATGCTTTCAGTTTAGTGGATTGTTGGAGAAAACTTCTGCACTAAAAAGAAACCAACAAGGGCTCATCTGAGGAGGCCTCCATCGATAATTTCATAAAAGATGTCTCCTATAAATAGGGTACTGTTTCTGCTGGGACCCTGAATGGGAGTAGAGATGTGCCTGATAAGGTACACAAAGGCCTGTCCAGGGCATTAATTAAGATGCTGCAATGCCCATCTTTTTTTTTTTTTTTTTTTTTTTTTTTTTTTTTTTTGTTTTGTTTTTGCTGCCTGGTTCTTGGTTCCCCTGTGTTTTATTCTGTGTTTCGTCTGTCTTCCTGCCCAGGGCACTAGCAAAAAAGTCTCTCTGCCCACATGGTTCTTGGATGCTGGGAACTGAGACAGAAACCTGTCAAGCCCAGTTAAATGTACAAACGAAGGTGGCCACTATATGTTTTCTTTTTGACCAGTCTTTTTTTGACTGTGTGAATGTTCTATGTTCTCTGTTGACTGGTTTTGTTTCTTCAGACTCTGTCCCTTGAATATTTTGTGTACTGTGTGTCTACTGATTTTGTTTTGCTGTGTCTGTCTCTTTAAATCTGCCACCTCTGCTGCCACAGCCACAGCCACAGCCACAGCCAAGGAAACTTTCTCACTGCTTTCTTCTTCCTGGTCCAGGCCAGATCTGGGTCAGCTCCTAGGCACCAGCTGGGATGAAGCTGTGAACCATCGTGGGAAGGAGGGCGGGGAGATACGGGGTGGGGGTGGAGACAGACTCACTAATGCTGTAGCTGCCTTGGCCACTTGCCAAGGTTGCTCTAATAACCAGGGCTGTGTGAATCTGAGCCTTCTCTGTTTTCAGGTTGCTCTGGTCCCTCCCAGGTCACTGAATTGTTTAGTGGAATTGAGATGTCTTTTAGATATGGATGACACTGAAATATTGTTTCATGTTGTTCTGCTTTATTAAAAAGTTGGCTCTGGAGTTGGTTATGGTGCCTCCTTCTCTGCAGCCAAACATGCTTATTTCAAAGTTTCCTGTCTGTCCTATGATTGGTGAGGCACCCGATTTTGTGACAGAGAAAAGGGAACAAAACAGGAATAGACTGTTGGCTTCACTTGACTT